GTGTTACTTAACTATGTAACTTAATTCATTCTAATTAAAGAGAGCCACGGATTTGCCAATAACAGGCCCTTAAAATTGCAGGTTATAGATCGACTACAATGACATTAATATTCAATACATTTAAATCAAATTTAGATCAATCTTAATATTGTGATTTTAAATAGCAGAGGTGGATTTAAGGAGGAGGGGTGGTAAAACAAAATTAAAAAATTAAAAAAAAATAAAAATTGATCGCCCAAACGGGCGTGTAGAAAAAGACAAATTTCTTCTAAGATGGTGTTATCTCGATCGGACCCACTTTCGTCCCCCTCCCCTTTTTTCGGCCCCGGTCCTCCCCCTTTCGGACATCTCTGGATTTGCCCCTGAATTGGCCTTCATGTCAGCAACTAAAATAACATAGGCTATTTATTTTTAACAATGTTCTGTGTATATCATTTGAATTTCTTCAATTTCAAACGAATGACCGCTGATTTTCGTATAATTTTTGCAGTATTTCAAATGAATGTACCCACTGTTGTCTTCTAATAGGATTGAAATCTGGCCGAATTTTGGCCGATATCGAAAAAAAGTTTGGCCCAATTTGGCCGTGAGATGGAGTGTGTTTGGCCGTGAAGCCTGTCGACTATCTGGCAACCCTGCTCTAAACCGTAGGCCCAGTGTACACAATTGGCTCGTGTGCACTTTAAAGAACCCAGTACATCATTCGAGAAGAGTAAGGGGTTACCCCGGTGTACTTGTCCATCTCTAGTCCCCTGTCCGGCCACAGAAGGAGCGCTCACGACGCGGCCATGTCAGATACCCATCCAATCTGCGAATCCTTCTACCACACTAGTATCTAAGCTAGATCATACACACTGGCTACGTTGTGGCTCGATCAGAAGAAGAAACTAATTAATATGCATATAACTTCAGCTCATTTAATATTCATTCATAGATCCTCACAAATCCAGCTACAACTGGATACAGTGCACAATTAACACAATTAACTTATGCATATTCATTGTTGTTGACCAGTCATTAGCAATACTTTGCAACCATACACAATAACTTTCCTGCATTTACTATACCTAAATTTGATGTAATGTCAAATAATAAAAATACTGTATTTTAATTCTAAACCAATAGCACAAAATAACAGGTTGAAAAGGATTGAAAGGTTTGGATTGGATTGGATTTATTCGGTGTAAACACCAAGGATAGCCCACGAAAGTCTAGAATAAGACTTATTTCCAGTGGGGTCCTTCTGGTGATTATTCGGCAGTCCCCCCGGAGACAATTCCCTACTCTTTTCCGAAGAGTGTACTGCGTTCTTTAACGTGCACATGGGCCATAACGGGACCAACGGCTTAAACGTCTCATCCGAAAGACGGTGCGCTATTGTAACTTGTATTTCAGCCCTCTAGCTGAAACACAAGGAGAGGCAGCGATGGGAATTGAACCGGGGACCTAGAGATCTCCATTAGCGTACACACAGCGGCTACCATAAGATTAGCAAGCTGATCTCTCATTCTCAAAGAACCTCCAACAATAGCGAACAATAGGTCGACCATTTCATGACTGAGTAATTTAACTGTTCCCTGTAAACCAGGAAAAAGAAACCATGCTTGAGTACACTACCACAATACAGGCAGAAAACGATTATGATAATAATATTCAACTATGATCAGACGAAGAACCGGGGACTGCACGTAAGTAGCAGGGCTATTTTTCATGCTTTGACTGCCATATCATTGAGGTATATCCCGAAATGACAATTTAGGGGTTCCAAATGCTTATCTAATCGCTTTTAGAGTCTACTAATATCGTTCACGTCGAGCGTATGTCTAGATATAGATCCACTTACAAGTGGGTACTCGGTGGCGAATTTAGCAATGTGGGGTGTGAATAATAGGAGCTGAGAAGGACCGAGCGGGGTGGGGTGGGGGGCGGTGGTTTTGAGAGGGGCATCCCCTCCCATTTTAGATTTTTTGGAATTAATAGACAGCTAGACGATCTTAAGATGGCATCTGAAAAGAAGTACTTAAAACAGAAAGTGTACGTTTTCCCAGAGTACACGAGATGCACACACACACACAAGACGAGTGACCATTATTTTGTTTTCACGGTAAACGTAGAGGGGTGGTGGCTAGGCCACCCTATTCACGCCCCTCCCCTCTAGATCCGCCACTGGGGTACCGTATGTAATTATTTATCTCACAACCGTTAATAATATTATTACAACACATAGGAACATGCATAGGCCTATTGTGAACAATTTGAGACCAATATCAAGTCTCTCTGGCCAATGGTTATCGAGATACAGTACAAGCGTCCAAATCGACAGGCGGCCATTTTGATAAACGCCCCTAAACGGGGCTTTCCCCCCATATCTGGGAGGTATAGGAGCTATATTTTATCTAAACTGATCCATCTTGCCAAATTCATCGAGAAAAAAAGGTATCCTAAAATTAGTCACGGATCTAATGAAAATGACTCTGCTATGGTGATGATGTTAAAAACTGGCGTAGCTTACGCCGGCGTAAGCTAATCCACGGATTAAAATTCCAAAGTGTTCACACAAACGGCGTTCACCATTAAAACTTTTAAATCTGTGAATTTTTCGAAGTGGACTTGATTGTTGTATTTTAAATGAACAATTTTACTTCTGATTTTTCAGCTACTAGCATTGTGGAACAGTTGTTGGTGTTAATAGACAGTCTAAATAAGTTAAAATATCCTGCAAAACACAATCAACAAATCATATACATTGTGTAGAAAAAGAAGCCCTTTATTACCATTTCATTTATAGAGAGCACAGGAAATAGATGAAAGTAACTAATCTATTGCAATCGTGATTGGTCAATCTCTTGAAATGAGGTCAAATCATTCAAGCATCATTGGCGTTAGCTCCGTGGCGTTAACTAATTTGGGGGTTGCAGGGTATGGAACGCCAAAAGGACAAAATACAATTGGCAGCAGTGCAAAACTGAGAGTCAGCAGTGCAAAACTGAGAGTCAGCAGCGCAAAACTGATAGTCACCAGTGCAAAACTGAGAGTCATCAGTGCAAAAACACAGAATCACAATGCAAAACTGATTAGTGCAAAACACAGAGTCACAGTGCAAAACTGAGAGTCGCAGTGCAAAACACAGAGTCAGCAGTGAAAAACTGAGAGTCACAGTGCAAAACTGAGAGTCACAGTGCAAAACACAGAGTCACACAGCAAAAGTGAGAGTCACAGTGCAGAACTGAGAGTCACAATGCAAAACTGAGAGTCACAGTGCAAAAATATTGGTGGCAATGCAAAACTCCAATGGCAGTGCAACTCAAGTGGACGCCCTCTATTTTGAATTAAAGTTTCACAGCTTTTTTGGACGGTGTCAACAAGTAAAATGGATGAAATTTTGAGGTCACTTGGGCACTCCTTAGTAACCATTGACAATTTTGAAAGGGGGAGGGGGTGCGTATAAGCGTTACAATTAATACATAAATTAAGTGTTTGAAATAATTAATAAACAGTGGGCTATGGAGAAGGCTAGAAGTAGGTACATGTGCCCGGACTTGTCAAAAAACAAGGCCTAAGTCTAGATATATACCTAAATGCCTCGACTTCGTCGGCTTCTCAAGAAACATTGTTTTCCTAAATAAATCTCACTTAACTATCTAAATTTTCTGCTTTTTTGTCATTTCTGTTGTCTTTTTTGATCCCCAATTGGTTATCTTTTTTTCAAAATTTATTTTGATTGTGCCTTGTATGTATTCCTTGGCAAAAGGTGCGGTACAAGTTCCTGTATTATTAACTGGGCCAGCGGCCTAGCCTAGGCTTTAGGGCCTACCTAGACCTAGGCAGGGGGGAGGGGGTGCAGAGGCTGCGGACCTACCCTCCCCTCCCAAATTCCAAAAGGTCTACTTTTTAAAACCTATGATTTCACAAAATCGTTCCCAATTATCACAAAATGCTATAGCATGCATTGCATTATATATTTGCCGGCTTATCTAACTGTTCATTTTTAATAATGTGGTAGTATGAAATTTGTTAGAAATTAATCGTCTCCGGTGATTGCAGATTGTCCATATAATATGAATAATGTTATCTATAGGCCTGCAGGTGTACAGGACATAATATCGTTACTTTTTCAGGTCCCAAAAACACCCAAATTAATGAAAATTTAAATGAAATATTCATGAATTATGTGTTTGAGAAATCTATTATGTAAAGACCCTCAAAATGCTACTTTGTCGCTTTTCTCACAAACCCCCTCCAGGCCTCTGCCCCATGGACCACCAATTTTCAAAAAGTCCAATTTTTAAAACCTGTTATTTCACTAAAATCGTTCCTATAATTATCGCGAAATGCTATATGCATAACATTTTTTTGCCCGCTCTTCTACCCGTTGATTTTAATAATGTGCTACGAAATGTGTTGGAAATTATCAGCTCCAGTGATTGCAGATTGATCCATGTCATCTTTAGGCCTACAGATGTAAAGATCATGAAAAAATACAATTCCACAGTGGTGGATTCAAATGTGGGGGGAGAGACCCCTAAAATTATAAAAGAAATGGAGAAAAAAAGAAAAATCATAGGCCTAA